CCTTGCCCAGTTTATCCACGCTTCATACCCCACCTCCCCATTAGTCACATAGTACCCTTCTCGGTGATCAGATCGAAAATACATACTCTATACAGGGTTCAGTACTATCTTCGGTTTCAGGTATTCACTGGAAGTCTTGAAACATTATCTGCTGTGATAAGGAGGACTACTGTATTTAGATCCCTAATAAGCTGGGCAATAACCATAAATGCAACAAGGTTACCAAAGAGCATGAAATCTCCCCATTCATTCCTTCATCCCTCTCAGAAGAATTTAGGATATAAACTATTGATAACTATTATTATGATAACTATTACTATGATAACTATTATTATGTCCTATAGCCCTAATGACTTAAAAGAGCAATAGTAAATGAACACCATTGTCTCTTGGAATCACAAGGCCCAAAGGGGAATATGGAAAATAAGATATGATGGGCAGAGTTCTTACAAAATAAGGATAAATTGAAAGTGTTAGCTTAATAAAAGTCATCGGCTGAGAAACATCAAAATAGGAAGTGTAAAAGCATAAGTGAAACTGGTGTTGAAATTTCAGCATATTATCCAAAAAACACTATATGTGAGAAAATTCTCCTGAAGTTCAAATGCAAAGATATAAAAACCCTGGATGACTAATACGAAAAAAAATACTACTACCAATGCAAATAAAAATTAAACAGAAAAGAACATATCGAAGGAAATTTTGAGTTTTAAGACAAAACTCTTGAGGTGTAGAGTGTGCTTAGTAATCTCCAATTCCACTTTAAATTAAGGATAATAACAATAAAAACAAATTATAATAAGGACTTCAATGAAATGAAAACATGTAAATCCGTGAAATATAAATCTTAATGTTAAAAATGGAAAATATAAAACAGAAACATTTTTAAAATTATAAACTTGAAATAAATTAACTGTTAATTTTAAAAATTCAGACTTACTCTGTCACAGTGATCTTCATTTGAATCCTGTTGCTCGCCCAAACCCGCCACAACAGGATTAGGCTGAAGACTAGGGCTGAAGACCATGAGGTCGGCCTTGGGCGGCCCCTCCCCAGAGCACACCCTCTGCCGCCTCTGCTGCGAGTACGACCAGCTCCCCACCGCGCTGGAGCACACCAAAGTGGCCTTCCCAGGTCCGCATGCGACCTCGGTGGGGGGCACCGAGCACCGCAGCGCCGTGTACAGCAGCAGCGTCAGCACCAACAGGCTGGACACGGCGCAGATGGCGACGATCAGATACACGTNCCCGCGCTGTCACCACCAACTCATAGGCAGACACACTCTCGCGGTCCAGGGTGCTGTCCAGCACCAGTGAATAGTAATTCTTGAAGGTGGAAACCAGCTTGAAGGGGACGTGAGGTGTTAGGGAGCAGGTGACGTGTCCGTTGACGCCTGAGTCGAGGTCGGACACGCTGATTAGGGCAATGACAGTACCGAACTGAGCGTCCTCTCGGACGGGCAGCGATAAGGAAGTCAATGCAATCTGAGGGACGTTATCATTTTTATCCAAAACTTTCACTAAAACCGTGCAATGACCCACCATTGGAGGGTGGCCTTTGTCCGTCGCATCAATGCGGATTTTATATAAATTCACTTGTTCAAAATCCAAATTCCCTTGAATGGCTACCTCTCCAGTGTTCGGATCTATAATAAACCGGTCAATGACCGTGGGTGAAACAAGGCTATTAAAAGAGTATGAAATTGCCCCATTCGCACCTTCATCCCGATCAGAAGCATTCAGTCTGATAAGTGTTGTCCCGTTGTCTGCATTTTCGAATATTCTTACTTCATATTCAGACTGTTCGAAACTGGGAGCATTGTCGTTCACGTCCAGCACAGTGACCAGCAGCTGAACAGCGCCAGTGAGCTCAGGTTTGCCTCCGTCGGTGGCCGTCAGGAATAAGTTATGTTCAGAAACTTCCTCTCTGTCCAATGATTTTCTTAAGAGAAGCCCAATTTGTTTATTGTCATCACTGTTTGTTTTCACATCTAGCGCAAAGTGTTCGCTGGAACTCAGTTTATAGGTTAAGATGGAATTTGAGCCAACATCTGCATCCGATGCGCCCTCCAGTGGAAACAGAGAATCCGGCGGCCTAGATTCATAAATCAGCAGCCTTTGTTCTGTTACAGGGAACACCGGCGGGTTGTCGTTAATGTCCTTCACCTCCACCTCCACATGGAAAACCTGCAGCGGCCTGTCCACGATCACCTCCAGGTGGATGCTGCACTCCGCGCTCCGCCCGCACAGCTCCTCCCGGTCGATCCGAGAATTCACAAACAAAACGCCATTCTGCAGATTTACCTCCAGCAGGTCCGCGCGGCTTTTGGACGCCACCCGGAACAGGCGCGGCACCAGCTCCGCCAGCTCCAGCCCCAGGTCCTGCGCCATGGGGCCCACGAAGGTGCCGTGTTTGGCCTCCTCGGGGACCGAGTAGTGGATCTGGCCGCTCCCTGCCTCCCAGGCTGCGAGGAGCAGAAGCGAGAGCAGCAGACACCGCATTCCCATTCTCCCTTCCAGGGTAAACACCATGTCAGAAATTTCTTGTTTCATTTTCATTAGAAGATTTTGTCTCGGCATAAAGTTGGAAAACTGTATGATTCTGAGTCTACTTATCCAGTTCTTCTGAGGCCGCCATCATTTAGCTTTCATGGAAAGATGCAGTATAGAAGAATCAGGCTTTGAACGCTGGCTAGATATAAATTCATGGTAGACAGCGACACCATGCGGCTCCAACGGGTAAGAAATGAATTCGTGTGACCGTGCCGTACTATAGTTCTTTAAATTAAAAAAAAAAAAAAAATATATATATATATATTGCATTACTTCTATAGTAAATCCTCTTCATGCTTGCAATTTGCGTATTCAGTGTTCTTCCGTGTAATTTCCTTTATTAGTTTAGAGTGAGTAAGGAATCTGATCATTCATAGCCAAACGACTCTCCTTCCATTATTTTAAAATTGGTATGAACCAGTTTAGTAAATTCATGTGTGAGTCTAACTAGTCTTGGGAATTAGAAGTGTAAACTGTCTACTTTGGGTAGAGAAGAAATTTGCCCATATTTGTCTGCCGGAACTATTATATATTGCTCTGGGGAAAGAATGTAATTTAAAATTATCAAATTTTATCTGAATTTTTAAAACCTTATAGAATATTGAAGTCTATTCTTTTTCTGTTCAATACATATCAAATACTTTTAAGGTTCTTTTTATGCAGTAATGGAAAATGAAATTTTTGGTGCCTATTTTTTACAGCATTTCTTAATTTCTCTGCAGCTAACGTTAGGCATTTTGCTTAAAATATTTTCCTTCCATATACTTCACCACTTCAAATTCTGGTGGAATTTCTACCCATTGTGCTTTGCTATTCTTTCTCTTTCAGCTGTTCCTAAATGACATCCTTTTCTCTCAACTTCAACCTCATCCTAAATTATTTTCCTTTAAGCATTTCATCGACTTCCGAGTTTCAAATAATACTTTTACTGAGGTATTCCCAAACCATGTTTTCATCTCCACTTTTTATATTTCTAATTTTTAGTGTACATCACTTTCACCCATACAGGCTGACTCCTAAAAACAGTTTACTATCAAAGGGTAACTAATCATTAACTCCCAAATTAAAATTCTTGAAATTTACATTTTAAATGGCATGAACATTGTCCACATCATCTATACTAACTTTTTATTACTCTTTCTCCCTTACCTGCCTTATTCAAAGTCAGCCTATGGTCCATCTGTCTTTTACATACCACCGTATTTACCTTTATGGGTACAGCTTTCATTGAGTTGAAATAAACCTAGAAATTCCAAGACATTAGAATCACTTCTAGGTGACCTAAGATGTGATCAAAAATCAACTTTTCCAGGGTTATTTTCAATTACTCTCCAATATGAATCTTATTTTGCCGACAGCATACACCACATGCTCTTTCTCTTCCCCAATACACCCTTGGTCAAGCTGAGTTTTTAAATTACCTCTATATCTACCTATAAAAATGTTGCCTTCATATCAAAGTCAAGCCCAAATATCCACTTCACCCTTAATTGATTCTTAGTGTTATCAACTAGAGGTGATTACACTCTCCTTGGAAGGAGAAAATTCGAATTACCAATAAGACTTTTTAAATGACATATGTCCATCCCCAAATTCTGACACATGTTAAAAAGCCTGACAGACAATTGTAACACAAAACTCTTTCTTCCATGAGAAGTTCTGTCTTCAAATAATTAACCTGGATCTACTTAGTAGTCCTTATCATTTAATTCCTATCACATTTATTTTGGGGAAACAAAGAGGTAGTTTGTTAACTAATAACAACCCCCAAAACAAGAAATTTATTTGCTTGCAGGAAGACAAGCCCTCACAAAAGATACATTAATCTGTATGTAGTCTTTTTGTTGAAGGATTTCTATACTGGCTAAGGTTTTTCACAGACTTTGATCTAAGTAAAGTGTACTATTTACATTATATTTCTACTGTTTAAAATTAATTAATTAAAGTTAAGTATCATATCTGAACTCCCGTTGCCAGTCCTGGCCATCCCCAGAACCTTTAGTATGTAATCCAATTAATTGGAGCAGTTGTAACAATTTTTATTGGTTCCAGGTAGAAAACTATAAAGTGTTACTGAAATCCTTTATTGTAAAATAAATTAACATTAAAAAAATGAAATATTGGACTTCTCTGAGAAACAGCTTACATTTGTCTCCATTTTACCTATTGTTTATCAAATAGTTTATTCTAGTCAAGAGGGAAGATTGTGTAGAGAAAAAAATAGTCAATCTCTACAAACAAACAGCTTCCTCCCCCAGCAAAGAAAAAGTTTATAGTGATAATATAAACCAAAGAGTTGTTTATCAAATAGTTTATTCTAGTCAAGAGGGAAGATTGTGTAGAGAAAAAAATAGTCAATTTCTACAAACAAACAGCTTCCTCCCCCAGCAAAGAAAAAGTTTATAGTGATAATATAAACCAAAGAGATTATATTTCAAAAGCAATATTACTTGATTTTTTAAAAGTAGATAGTTGTTATTTACAGATTTACACAGTGGTGAGAACTCACTCTCAATTTCCAGGAAGTAACTCAGGGTATTAGAAATACATAAACAGTATAGTAAAAGGCTAATTATAATATTTTTTACTCAGTTCATGTTCATAAAGATATGTATTTATAATGTTAAATGAATGAGAGAACAAAAGAAATGGGCAAAGCAACCAAAATAGGGAATTAACATTTTATCAAATGAAGTGTGGAATATTTATTACATAGTAAACCCACACTTTTCTCACCAAAAAAGAGAAGAATAACAGTTCTTATTATTTGAAATGGAGAGAGTCTTTGTCTATGGTGAACTTAAATGTACAGCTTTGCTATAAACAACTCTATTTGTAAACCACAAACTCAAAGGGGAGTTTGTATCCTGGTACTTTTATTTTTTAAATGTGAAAATGAAAAGCAACAATAAATAGTAACATTTTTATAGCAAAATATGTTAGGATTTTCCTAACTGGAGAAATTTACCATTACTTTTCATCAAAATAATAATTTATAAATTAAAAAATATGCAAGTCCCAGGAAAATAAAATCATTGTTCCACTAAATGTCAACAAACTGATACATCCACACAATGAAACACCATAGATCTAGATAGAAGAATGACAAACCTCCTTCAGTAATGATAATTCATGATCACCAAGATATATTAAGTGGAAAAAATTCAAGATTAAAAGCAATGCAAAGATTATGTTTTTAAAAGAGGTAGGAAAGTTTATTTGTCTGTAAAAAGATATTTCTGGAAGGATACCCTAGAAACAGAAATGTTTCAAGTATTCAAAAAGTTTATTAAGTGGGTTTATAATTGAGGAGAAAGGAAAATTTTAATTACTGTTCTGTGCTTCTAGAAGGTTAAATCAAAATGCATTTCCTATTCAAAAAAATCAAGAAATGAAGACATTAATACTAAAGTTATAAATTACAAATATCAAATTTATTATGAGTTTGGAAGGCCAACTGTTCAAATTTGAAAGGAATCAATTGCTGCACTAATATGACGAAATAAACTAAATTATTGTACTAAAAACTTCTAAAATTGAAATTCAATAGAAACAAAAAGGGCAAAATTGAAGGAGTGTAGTTAAAACATTTTTACATAGACATAAGATGACACTTTGAGAATAAATGACTCCAAAATATATATCTTGCAATTTTTGTCTGACATTTCCTGAACGTTAAAGTATAAATTGTTTAAATAAAAATATAATTTTGAAAACACAAGATAAAAAGAAGATAAATCAATTACTGCATCAATAAAAACCTCATATAAAAGAAAATACTTACTGAAAGATTTAGTACAAAGAAATTATCTCATATAAACTTGGTTATAAATATAACTGTGATTTTAAGTATATGACTTAAGTACCGATAGAGATTTAATATATAACAGGCTGACCCAATAATTATGTATTAATAGGTTAGAGCAAAGGCTTGTAACATCAACGCCCAGGGTTCAGATCCCTTACTGACCAGCCGCCAAAAATAATAATAAAATAATAAGAACAATTGCGCATTAAGCCATGATTTTTTAAAAAGAGAAATTATGGGAGACAACATGAAATATTTAATATTAAAGAATTAGAAAAAATTAGTGTGAATAAGATTTTTGAGACTCACGTTGTCTGCAGAGCTGGGACCCTGAGGTAGGCTAGGGCTGAAGGCCATGAGGTCGGTCTTGGGCGGCCCCTCCCCAGAGCACACCCTCTGCCGCCTCTGCTGCGAGTACGACCAGCTCCCCACCGCGCTGGAGCACACCAGCGTGGCCTTCCCAGGTCCGCACGCGACCGCGGTGGGGGGCGCCGAGCACCTCAGCGCCATGTACAGCAGCAGCGTCAGCACCAACAGGCTGGACACAGCGCAGATGGCGATGATCAGGTACACGTTGACATCTACCAGCGTAGCCTCCGGGCCCGCGACCCCCCCTAACGCCTGCGATGAGGACTTTGGCGCCTGGCTGCTCTCCACCAGCGACACCAGCACGGTGGCCGTGGCCGTCAGCG